TTTAATGTGCTATATTTAATACACAACTTAAGCTTAAATGTGATATTAATGAGTTCAGGCGTACTCTCTAAAATTCTTGTAATGAACTCGATTGATCTCGGGACCCAGGCTCCTCCAAGCCCTTCGGTGCATTATCGCATTGTACCAGTGTTTTTTTATTTTTTTATTTTTTAGCAGAATTCGTTGAGTTAAATCTGAAGGAAAAACTCCCAACCACGACTACTAACCAATAGGATTATGGCACCATATGACTTCCAGAAATCATACATACAACACCAAAATAAGATACTTCTGATTTAAACAAACTTGTGCCAAGATCTCTTTATAGGATCGGCCTGAAAGCAGCACTCATGAACTATCGGAGGAAAGTGTAGCAGCACTTCTCATTTATTGAATCATAAGAGACTAGCAATAAGTATTAAAACTAAACTTTGTTTTAAATTAAGCAAACAATCTTTGACCGTATATGTGTTGAACGGCTTTGACAATTTAATGTTAAAGTCGATTTCCCGTGTTAGAAATTTGGCAAGTTAATTTGATCGCTTTTTGTTATGCTACTTCTTTTTTGTTTTATAAGCTGTAGAAGTTATTTTAGATCCTTAAAATATTTATATTGAATAAATTTACCCATTCAGACAATCATGTTTCACGCGGACACATTAGTATCGAAAAGGTATATTTTGCTCTATATGTTTTAAGGTTTTTGAATGGACCACCATCGGTCCATGGACCTTTTTGTTTATATATAAAGTTAAGTTATCTAAAGTTTTTTGTTTATGTTATTCTAAGAATATGTATACCCTTTTCGCAATATTTATAAGGTCCATGGACCTTTTTGTTTTGTAAATATATAAAGTTGTTTGTTTATGTTATTCTTAGAATACGTATACCCTTTTTGTAATATTTTTAATATTTATTGTATATTTATTACTTAATATTTTATTTTTATATGTATTTAGATTTAATTAACGAGAGCTTGAGAGTACTTGGCTTGGCTATATTTCTCTGTAAATATCAATATATGTTTTTCCCGTAGAATCATAAATCATAGGTTTTCACGACCGCTTTTGTGTTGTCGCAGAACATTTAAGATGAAAGTTTTCGAACTCACACTTAACACTGAACTAAAACAACTAGGCGTTGCTTTAAATTTCTAAAAAAGATTTAAGTATAGTGTCATAACCATTACGACTTTTGTTTGCCTTCCAGGTTGGCCTTAACGTTATTACATATAAAAAATTTATTATGCAACTAAACTCGACTCTCGACTCGAAATGTTTGTTACTCCTAGCACATTTAACTGCTTGCCAACTAACAAACACTTGTAGTTCTATATATTTGGGTGTTAAATTTTTAATTACTTGATAATATAGTAGAGTACGTTTTTCCTGGATTTGGTAGATTTAACGATTTTAGCTACGGGTTTTTATCACCCATTTCCCATCTCTATCGTGAAAGGTGCATAGCTGACACTCCGATTGACCTTTGACTGAGCCGAGCAACGGGCATTGAGCACCGGACATCGGACATCGGGCATCGGGAATCGAGTCAACATGTTTCGTAGCTCGTTAAACTCGAGCCATTGCTTATAAATTTGCGCACGAAAATTGCGATAATTGCCGGGAAATGAAATAAAAATGCAATTAAAGTCAGCGTTTTGCACGCCTGGGGCGACACTTGAGCGGCGCATGGGGCACAGTCCAAATGACTATTCAATTAAAAGGACAGCAGGAGCAGTACCAGGAGCAGGAGCAGGAGCAGGAGGAGCAGCAGGAGAGGCCGCTTCAACCTTCAGTGGCATGTTGCCGACGAGTCGTCGGTACTCACTGTGACTGCTCTCTGGGGTATACACTTGATGTTGTTACTGCGGATGTTGCTGCTCGTACTTGCTGGTTGCTCGGCAGTATTTATAAAATGATTTTTATCTTTATCAAATTAGAAACGACAAGAGCAACAGGAGCAGCAGAGCGGCAGAGCAGGAGTAACACCAGCAGAGGGAGTCGTAACTACATTTCGTCCAGATGTCTGCAGTGTCATAGCAATTAAAACTGTGCTGTGGCGTTGTCCAGATTAAATCGTTGCCTTGTGCTTGCCCCTAGTTGTCGCCTACAATATAACAATGCGAGGAATACTGGGTCAGTAAACGCTCTCAAATGCTTCGGAGTTACAGCTGTCGTCGACAAATGGTAAACAAGTTACAAATTTTGGGGATATGAATGACACGGAAGGATACATACAAGAAATTTGCTAATTTATTAACTTACCGTTCATGGCCCAGTGTCTATAACAAAGATTTGGATATTTTGGGATTGGAAGTAAAGGGTTAAAATTGTTGCAAATGCGAACTATAACAACATTTAAATTACTTATGCTTTTTCGGCTGGAACATTTTAAACCTGAATACACATAATATTATATATAAGTGTAAAAGAAAGCTATACTCATTAAAAATAAATGTATACTCTTAGATATCATGTAAAAGGCATTCAAAATACTTTCAAATTCAACAATGAATACCTGAGCATCGGACGTAACTCAATGCGATTATTTATCAACGCATTTATATACATTTGAGCCATTTTTCTACTTTCGTCTCCAAATACCAAATATGTATTTGAAATCAAGATATCTATTGTTCATATGTCTGTCTATGTGATTATTTTATAAACTAAAATCTGTTGTGAAGATGGAAGTTTATGTAGTTTTGGATTACGGTCAGTATTTAATAAATTGTGTAGAGGAAGCAGGAAGGTGGCGAAAATCCAAAAAACAAACTAGTGTAGGGACTATTACTTCATTCCATGATTGGTTAATGGGGGCTTATAGGTTCTGAAATTCTAGCCTAGATAGAGTTGTCTCATTATACTGTAAGTCAACAAAAAAGAAACTCGTATTGGGACTATTACTACATTCCATGTCTGGTTTATGTGGGCTTATAGTTTCCGAAATCCTAGCTTAGATAGATTTGGCTCGTCATGCTGTAAAAGGATATACAAATAAAATAAACATACATAAGATTTCGCATTAAAGATCATTAACATCGAAAAATTCATTTATTCTTCAGTTAGCCTAAGGGCTCAGAGCTTTAGCTTTTTTCTTACTATTCATATGTCAATTTCACATCGCAAAAGGAGCATTTAATAAATAAATAAAATATAATTCTTCAGAATTCATTTATATGCATTACACCATCGCCATATCCGATATCCGTATCAGAGTAAGCTATTTATTTCTAATACTCCTCGATGATTGTTCAAATAAAATTTTGGATATGTCGTGAGATTATGCTTCGTTATTCCAATTCGTGCGAAATCGACTGCATGAATTGTTTCAGATCCGCCCACCTAAGGTCTTACATTCCCCCATAGCCAGTTGCCGCTTGCCTCCTTAATGCATTCGACTCATTTGCCGATGGGTTTGCCTTTTGGCCCAAAAGAAATTCAGTTGGTTGCATTTCGGCGGTTTTGGTGTTGTTGGCGCCTTCATGGATTATGCAAAAAGTTTTTCATTAATTTTGGATTTAGATATTTTTCACGCTTTGTAGCAAGTCGCACCGCAGGCTGGGATTTGGCTTTCTCTTGCTTTTACTTTTTTCAGTTTTTGTTTGCTCTGCTTGCCTGTTTGTTTGTTTGTTTGCTCGTTGTTTGTTGTTTGTGTTGTGCTCGCGTGCTGACAACAAAACTTGCCTGCGTCCCAGGATACATTAACTTTTGTGCATCACACAGTGCAATAAAACCAAAACACCAACAACAGCAATAGTATTGTAGAAATAAAACGCACTGCGAGTTTGGTGAGCTTTTTTATTTTTAGAAAAGTTTTTGCTTATGTTGGGACAACTATTTTTTTTTTTTTTTAAAGGGCAACTATGTTTGTATTGAAAGACACTTTTTTTACAGTTCAACTTTCAGTTGGCAAGCGTATTTGTGTTATTTGCATTGGTGATGAGCATAGTCTATTTAAAAAAGCAATTATTTACTTCATCTTTTCAATTTAGTAAACTGCGGTGGTTTTAAGGAATTTACTCAAATAACGCTTCGTGGAAATTTATTTGACAGAAGCTTTAGAAATATAGCTTTACGCTTCTCTCTATTTATTTTTAATCGCTTGTTTTCTATATCCAAAGTAGTATTTTAATTAATTTATTTTCTCTCAGTGTAGCTGCAAACTTTGCAAACATAGACGCATATAGTTTTTTTGTGTTCCAAGTTTTTGCTTGCAACATAACTTGGGATCTGGTTTTTTTTAAGCATGTAATTTTTTTGTAGCTGGTTTTTTCGGAGACACTCTTGCAGTGCAAATTGTTGGGTTTTCCCGTTTACGGTCTCCTTTCTTTCTTTTTTCCTCTGTTTTCTTTTCGCCGTTTTCGATTTGTCTTTCTGCGGCGCGCGCCTGTTAGCCGGCATTTATTTGAGTGTGTAAACTTTTGCTACTTGAATTTCGGGGATTTTCCTGTGGCAATTTCACGGCTCTCCCCATCATCCACATTGCGAAAACTTTGATAGTTTTGTCAAAAGTTTTTATTGCGTTTTGTTGCAAGAAGCAATGCCAGAGACAGAGACAGAGGCAGCGGCAAATGCAACTCGTGTAAAAGTAATGCCACAAAAGAAATCCCTTATTGATAATTTTATGGATGATGAGCAGTAGCGGCATCCAACAATTTAAGACGGTAACATAGTTTTTCAATCGCTCAATGGCCAGGTTTTAATCTGAAAATAAAGCATATGGCCCTTTGGCTTACTCGAATGTTTAGCCCTTAATACTACAAGAGCTGATTTTCCGAGCAATGGTGTCTGTATAAATAATTGAAAAATTAATTTACCTTTAAAATTCTAATGAACATAAATAAAACTCAATTTTTAAATTATTTACATACATATTTTACTTATCGGGAAACCTATTATCTTTACAATTATAGATCGTTACATGTGGTCTAAAAAATATATTAATTACCTTATACATTTTTAATAAAACGACCCTGATTATAAACATAGGCGCCAAAATTTAAAATATGGTATAGAAACAGAAAGCGATTTCACATAACTTGTTCTTCGCTTTTATTTTTATTTTTAGCATTAAATTTAATTGGAAATGCGGTTTAATATGTTTAAGGAACCTTAATTGGAATCAAACTCGAAACTCGAATTGTATAAATCAGTTAAGTTTTGGGCTTTTAATCTTTAGATTAAGTCAGGTTAAAGTAAATCTAACAATCAAAATTTTGCCCCTACCACGTATTTTTAGATACATATACTATATAGTATAAATTTGTCATCACGGGTTTCCTTCTGATACTGACATACAATTAGAAACTATACTTGAAGGTAAAAGTGTAAGCCGCTTGTTTTGTTTAATGTGTTTTCTCTTTCCGCATGTAATACAAGTCTATAAGCGTGGTCAGACATGCAAACATTTGTGTACAAAATTGAATTCTTTCAAGCAAGAGATCCAGCCATTTTCATAGTTTCATATACTGTAACTTTTAAGGATATTTTTATTATTTTATACCTTCTCATGGCGTTCTTTCAAAATCGAATAAATTTGTGTGCGAATTATTTGCACGGCCATAGTTTTGGAGCGAAATCGTTAACCGTTTTGGTATTGCATATAACGTTTTGAATAGTGTCTGGCCAGTAGAAGTTTCTATTTACTATCACAATGCTCGATGACCACTACATCGCCGTAATTAGGTGGCGGGGTTTCAGGACGTGGTGGATTGGTGCTGGGACCATTCTCGCTCACATAAAATTGGGATGTGCTTGCCGGAGGTGTCGCGGGGCTGTTGGGCTCGCTCTGACGATTCGTGAACAGATTGCTGCGACTCAGACGACGAATGAGCGTGGCCGTGTTTTGATTAAGCGTTCGATAATATTGCTGACGTGCCGGACGTCCGAAGAGGCGTGACACGAAATTGTCCTGCGGCCCATAGGGCTGTCGCACGAGGGCGCGCGAGGTGGCGCGTGGGTGGCGTGGGGGATTGGAGCGTCTGGGCACGCGAGTGTGTGAGGGTGGGGCCGGCGGGAGCAACGTCGTGAGGGGCTGCGAGGCCACGCCCTGCAGCCGAACCGTGGGCTCAGCGTCATCTGCACGAATTAAAGAGAGAGTGGCAGGCGTTAAAGCGGGATTTGTAATAATTTGCAAAAGGATGTTGTACATACCCGCTGTTTGCTGCGGGCCATCGACTTCAGAGCTGCTTCCTTTGCGTCTCAGCTCGCAGCAGCTCTTCAGGCACAAGGCAAAGGCAATGATGAAGATGACCATGCAAATGCCGGTGGCGCCGCCAACCACAAAGGCCAGCTTCACATCATCCTCGTCGTAGCTGTGTCTGCGTTTCAGAAACGTCTCGCTGACGCTCTCCAGACAATTGTGATAGCGTTGACACAGCTGGTCGCGTGTGCCTTCGCAAACATTGAGCAGTGGCTGTAAAGGGTCCTCTGGCTGTTCATCCTTCAGCTCATCAGAGTCCTCGGGCAGAATGCGCCAAACATCCATTACGGACCTTGGCTCTTCATTAATGATATCTATTTGTTGCTCTATGCGTTGAAATATGTTCGCCTCCAGATTGGCATTGCCATGGTCAGGATCGAGTTGCTCTCCTTCTTCCGGTCCCTCCAGCTCAAACTGACAGTCACTCATGCTGAGCGCGATGCCGCGCTGACGCAGCGTCCTTGCAAATTTGTATAAAGGGCGATCACAGTTCAGCGGATTCTCGTCGAGGTTGAGATCGGTCAGAAAGCGGGGCGCATAGAAAGCGCCGCTGCTTACCGTGATCAGCATATTCTGTGCCAGGTCCAGCTGTCGCAGCTGTGGCAAGGCACTGAGCAACTCTACACTTATTTGGTTTATCTGAGCATTGCGCAGAACAAGGATGCGGAGTGACTTGCTACGTAGCAGCGGCTGCGAGTCCAGCGTGGCCAACTTATTGCCCTCAAGATTGAGATAGTGGAGCTGATCGTTCGACTCCAACATGTGCTCATCCACATATTCCAGACGATTGTAGGACAAGTCCAGGGCTTGCAGATGACGCAACGTAGAAAAGGCATCCACATGAATAGTTTGAATGGAATTGTGAGCCAGTGTGAGATTTAACAGATGCACGGTAGTCTGAGAAAGGCAAGAGAAAGGCAGGTTTAAGTGGGAAGTATTCTAGAAGTGATCCACTATGTGGATTATCTTCTTTTACACCGTCTTATTATTAATATTTTTTATAAATCAGTTCAATTGAAAAATGCAAGCGCATATAAGGAAGATTGATGGGTGGGTGTCATTTAATTATTAGTATGTCTAGAATCGTAAATAAATGCATTAGCTTGTGTAACTTTTTACCCTTTAAGCACAGGGTATAGAATTGAATCTTGCCACTTTTTAAAACCATTAAATATGTGCCATTATAAGTAAAGTGCCCTCCAAAAAATTGTTATTTGTCCTATTAATTTTGGCCTCGCCTATGTTTGATTAACGTACGTATAAAACACTTGAATTAGTTCTATTTATATTTATTACTGTGTATAAATATAACCCAGAAATATGCCCTGAAATGAAGCGGGTGTTTCGATGGAGACAAAAATAATTTTTTTTTTCGAATTTACAATGTTTAATATAATTTACCCAAAAAGTTTGGTCAAATTTTGTATTACAAATTGAATGTTTGCAGCCGAAACGTATACTTTTGGAGAAGACTTTAGGCTAAGTTGAGAACACAACCTAATGAATGGCATTAAATGTTTAAAGTGAGTTGAGAAAGCGTTGCAAAACCGTCGAATGACAACAAGAGACAATGCCGAGGATGTTAGCATTTCTAATGGATTAGTCAGCAACAATTTAAGAGAACTGTTGTACCTCCTAAAGTAAAATCTCGATTGGAACTGAACCTTTGCTCTCCTTCAATAACACTAATATTGCATATCAACTATAGTGTGCCCTCTGGCTATTGAATATATTGAAATGAATATTCTGAGGACATCGTTTTTAAACGATTGAGAAATTCAAGCTGATTCGAAGAAGAGGATTTTCTGGGCTGCTACGTGGATTTGGAAAAAGCCTTTACATATGTGCATTGCATACTTAAATAAGACGAGGATAAAATAAATATATACAATATACAAATAAAATATATGTATACATTAGTATGATATATAAAAAGAATGATTTATCGAATAATTTTGAAAGATTCCTAAGTGTTATGGCTTGTTCACATGTATGTAGAAATGTGGCTGAACGAAACTTCTCCGTCAACAAAAAGTATATAATGTACAAGTATAAATAATTGCTTAACACTACACGCTAGTCTTTAGTCATGTTCGTCTGCCAATCTATCTGAATGAACGACTATTTTCCGAAAAAGGCGAAATGTTCACTATTAGCTAAAGTCGGGCTTGTTACAGTTGAACATTTTCTCTTGCTTTGTTTATTTTTCGTACGTCTTATTAAGTGAATTTATCAATCCAAAAAATAACACTCGAATCCACATTTTTTAAGTTCGGTCTCTAGTGTGAAAATAAAATTACGTTGGGCCACAATTCACAGAAACAAACATTTCATAACTAATCTGTTTACTTTCTATTTGGAATTGTAACACTCTGTCGCTTACCCCGAAACAATCGGCATCAACATTGGTAATATCGTTGTAGCTCAGGTCCAAAAGCTCCACAGTCTTGGGCATTTCCATGTTGGCACTTATCAGTCGCTTGGCGCTGCTCCCCAAAATATGGTGGAAAAGTGAAAGTTGAAAATTCCTGAATGATGAGTCAATATAGTAGAATTGTAGAACTAACCTGCATATGGCGCGATTGCGTTGCTCGTACAGATCACAGCTACAGACGCTGGGACAGAAGAGTTGGGTTTTGCTGCGACACACCTGGAGGAGCACACAGAGCAGGAGACCCGCATAGAGTAGCGTTTGCTTGAGACCCAGCCACATTTTTGGTTTGATTACGCACCGCAGTGTCATGGTTGGTTTAACCTCTAATTGTGGGCCATTATACTGTTGGTAGCTGTGGATTTTTCGTGTCGGCGGATGGGCGTTGCAGTCTGTTACTGATTTACCGACTTAGTAGTTATGAGTAAGTGCACGGACTGCGCTACAGTAATAGTTGAAGGGCGTATCAGTGCGACTAACATTTCTGTAGTGGAGCCTAGTACTTGGAGTGGCCGTAGTTGTGATAGACTCTGCTGTTTTTTTCGCAGCGCAGTCGACACTTCCAGTGAGATAAGATTAGAGCTAGCACTCTCTCTCTCTCTTATCTTATCAACTACCATACATTTCCCAATGTCTTGAAAGCCAGGCATTTGGAAGCAGGTTGGAGATAGTAACTTGGTTCTTTGTTTTGGCCTCTAGTTGTTTTGATGGCGTTTTTGTTTTGTATGTGGCTCAGTTGTTATTTGGCTTTTTGACTAAAGCGTTTTAGAATATATTTACTGCTATCTTACTAGTTATTATATTTCATATGTAATAATGATGGTGTGAGATAGAGCTGCTTCAAATGCAATAACAAAATATAATATTGGTTAAAAGAAGCTAACATATATCATTTGTTCATCTATTCTAATTTAAGTAATCCAATTCTTAAATATAGCTAACTTCAAACGTTTTAGAGTTCTTTGGATAAGATAGTCCAGGTAGGAATAGTTTAGATTAGACAAGACAGGCCACCGTCTAAAACCGAGACAGAACGGAAGCCCAAGTTTTTTTAATTTTTTCAAATTTCCTTCAAGGGTTACTCTCTAGGTGCATAGGCTTATCTTTTAAATATATTTCACTTCTTTTCTGTTTATGACGTACTTAAAAAACAATGACAGGCATTTAAGCCTGAAATAGAGAAAAGACCATTATTAATGAGTAGTTTTTGAAATGCTATTATTTTTATTTACATAAAACTCCTTTATGTTTTTTAAATTGTCATTCCATATTTAATAGAAGGACTCGATCAAATTCGGTATCTTTTCTGCTTATCGCATGAGTTTGCTTTCTTAATGTCTGCAAGATATGAGTGGCTTTACTAACCATTATATATTTCGCAACATTTTTCCCATTTTGGTCTTCAGTAAATGCTTTGTTTAACATTTGAAGGAGCATCTTTTTTTTGGCTTATATAGAACTGAAAAGAAAAGGGCAAAGTTCGTAATAAATTGGTTGCAAAATGTACTTAGCACAATGCCTTGAAATGCAGCTTGGATAGCCAAAGTAACTTCGGAATGGCCTTTGAGCTTAACTGCAACAGTCAAGATGAATATGAACGCTGCATGCGAGCACAATGCAGTCCCATTGCAACTGGAAAATTATGGTGTGGGAAATGAGGAACTTCCATCCGCCAGTGCGCTCTGACAAAAACTTCAAATCCGGCCAGTGGGGCAATAGCAACTTGATGATCGTTAAGCAAAAGCAATGGCCGGCGGCCAAAGGCGTCGCTTACGACGCCAACGACGACTATGTCGAGCAGCACTGACTAGCACTTGGACTAGGACTGGGACTCGAGGCTACTTAACAGCACAGCTGGCGTTTCCTGGACCGCTGCCCAAGATGAAAATAGCCGCAAATCCAGTTGCCGCTCTTGCTGCTTGCGACTTGTTTCCGCTTTCGGTTTGTTGCCTTTAATTTATGGCCTGACACATGAGCAGACCGACAGACAGCCAGACAAACGGGGAGTGAAGACAGACCAGCAGGGGGCGCATGGAAGAGAGGGAGAGAGAGGGAGAGGGAGGGCGGGTGTCAGGCGATTTGGATAAAGACCAAGGCCTGACTGCAGACTCATTGTCGTTTGTGTTTTGTTCCAAAAACTGATCGCTAGAAACACAAAAAATTTCCACACACTCACACATTTATATATAAATGTACACATGGACGCATAGTGCGGAAATAGTTAACTTTTATATGCATTTCAAATCAGAAACTTTTGCATTCAAACTTTATTAAAATTACGTTTGATGCTCTGTCGCTGTCCTTCGCCCCCTCTCCATCTCCTATCTCCTATCTCCTTTCTATGTTGGCGCCTTTGATTTTTTGCGGATTTCAAATCCAATTTTTAGCATTGTTGGCGAAATGTTGGCGTTCGCTGCTTACTCCTCTTCCCCATAGTTGTTTTTTTGTGCACATTTGCATTATTGTTTTGACTGCTGGCGGTTTTGGGCAGCGACTTTTTCCTATAGCCTCGCACTAATGACCGACATTGCTTCCTAATTACAAAAGTTTTCCATGCACTTGCCTGCCGTTCCTTTTTGTGTGAGTGGGTGGTGCGGTGGTGGTTGGTGGTTGGTGCGTCGTTTCTTGTTTGCAAAAGCATTGTTTTTTTTTAACTACTGTCTGAGAATAAGAACTTTAAAGTTTATTTTATTTCAGTTCTCTTATTTAATGGTTTGGCTCTTAAACTTTGGCATAAGCATTTCATTTAATTTTGTGAAGCACACTCACACTCGCACCTAAGCAGCTAACGGCTATATTAATGCAGCACGATCTACACGCATCACACACCATACTATATAGTACACTATATAGTACACCACGTACCACCACATACACATGTTTGCGCAGTTGAAAAACGCATAAAAGACAGGCGCTGCCCCAAACACATACACTAGTCAGCATGTGTGATGAGACAAAATTAAAGTTGATCTAAATTCATAGCGCAAGGGGTTTACTTACTAAGTCCACTAATTGAGCTTTCTATATATGAATAAAAACATTGCAAGCATTTCAAATTAGAATGTGTATCCAATTTATTTTCATATTCAATAATATATGCACACTCGCCTGTCTATTCTGCTAAGCTCCAATTTTCAAACAATCGTTAAATAAAAATTAATTAGGTAATTAAAAACGATGTTCGGATAATATCATATTTCATAAAAATACTATTGAATGAATATTCTCAAATGATAAACTGAAAAAAAATTTGGATACAAAAAAAAGTAATTTAATTGGAGGTCAGGCACGGCTGAAAAAAGACGTGTTTAATTTAATCATAGCGCACGGAAATTATACAATAAGTTTTTGCTTCACATTTAAAAAAAAGTAAATAAATTATAATTGTTCCTGTATTTACATACATAGATACTTAAATTTATAAATTTTTTTTTTATTTGTTCAGAATAAAACATTTAATTCTGAAAAGGTGGCAATGCATAAAAAAATAAATATTTAATAAAAGAAAAGGTCTTTGGAAATACCCGTAATGAGTGAAACAGCAATTGTAATACACAAGTTTCCAACTAAGGGAGGTATGCTTTTTAATTAAGCTATTAATTAAACTTAAAGTCTGGCGTTGCGAGAACAGGATTGCATTAAAATCTGTGTCATGCTTCTGAGCATTTGAAAATTGTCAATTCTCGTATATAACTAAAAATCAAGATGTTGCCAATATCTTACAATTTTTAAGTGCTTTTTGCTTTATAGCTAACCATCAAACTGTACCTTTCCATACAACTAGGTACAACCATGCTGTGGTAAGTCAATGATGCCAGATTAAAAAGTAAAGGGTTACTGGAAGAATCACATAAACAGAATCTCATTAACAGGTATACATTTTAAATAGTCTTTCGATTTTCATACAATTTTACATTTTATGGCATTATCAAATTTTATATACTTTCGGATTCAACACAACAGTTCTGCATATTTTTTATAACATATTATTAGATATTAATAAATAAAGAAAAATCAGTCAAACGTTCAATATTTAAATCAACCCTATTTAAATAAATATGAATACATCCGAACATAACAGAAGATTGATGTCTTTCTACTTAAGCTCTTTCTTGTGTTTTTGCGAAAACTCGTAAAACAGAGCACCTTCACACTTTGACAAGCGATAAAAATTGGCTGTGAGACATTTAGCATATGAGTCTGTTGTCAACATACATATGCCGCTTAGTGTTGGCATATGTCAAGTGGCAGATGTGGGAGAGTGCAGAGAGACAGCGCGACAGACGGACAGACAGACAGACAGTGCGGGCCACACTTAATGATAAACAATGCTTGCGGTCAGTTTAACATGCCGCGCTATTACCCAACCATACTACACTCACACACACACACACACACACAGGCATACATGTATGTGAGAGACAACGTCGCCTGGTCAGCTGGCCACAAACATAACGAGTGGACAATTTACACGCTTGCCGGCAATGGCTGCCAAAAGAGGATGCAACAAGGATGCAAAGGGTAGGGTGGCGAGTTGGCAAAATACTACGAGCACAAGCAAGAAAAAGCGGCAAAAACAACATGCTTAAAAGAGCAGTAAATGAGAATTTATCCACTTGGTGACCAACGCTGACATGAACACACACACACACACACACAAATTCATACACAAACAAACACACAGATGACAATCGTACACATACACACACACATATAAATGCACATTCCGGGGACACACGCACATCGTAAAGTTTTAATCGGATGTTGTCCAGCTTTACATGACGCCATCTACTAGCTTAGAGTGCAATATCCTGTGGCACGCGATAACATCACACACACTCACACACTCGCACACTCACACTTTACAGCATACACACACACACACACACTCGAACACGTACACATACGAAGAAACAATTGCGCGTTGTTTATGCGCCGCTTTGGCCAGCCAAATGCTTTTGGCTCTTTGCTGTTTGACGGCATTTGGCCTCGGACTGCTGCCTGGCTGGCTACGCACTGCACAGAGAAACAACAACAGCAGTAACTGCTGCAACAACTACAACAATGCCGCTTTGAACCGCGTGCTGGCGTCGCATTGTGCAAAGCTACAGATACAGCTGCCGAGGCAAAGACAACAACAGCCGCTACAGAGGCTTAAAAAGCGCTCAATGCCAGACGAAAAGAAAAAAGGAACTAAATCATTCTCTTTGGCAGCATCGAAGTTGGGTACACTACTCTAGTGTCTCGTTGTTGTTGTTGGTAGAGAATGTTGATAAAAGATTAATTCAGTATACTTGTATGTACATATATAAAATTCTTATCTCTTTTTAAGGATAGTTTTAATTTTATTAATTAAGCCTAGCGTGATGAGAAAAAGGCTGATGTAATAATTTTTAAATTCTCTAAGCTTAAAAGAATGTTGAAACAACCCAGATTTATTGTAGATATTGGTATTATTGATATAGGCTAAGTCCATGATAATTAATACCATAAATAAATATTTTCTTCGGCATTGCCGATTAGGCCGGTATTATTATTTTAAATGTTATGCTTGATATGCTCGTATAAAGTAATCTTATTTAAGTCTAGACAACAAACTTTTTGTTGGTTTGCGTATTGGTATTTGTTCGAAAAATGACTTTTCTATCAATTCGAGCGATAGTTTCATTTGGTTTCTTAATTTAAAGTTTTTCTGCTAACGTAAATTTTCTCAGCTCTAAAGTATTGATTCGAAGGCGTCTTAATAAATTCGATACACTTTTTTCAATAATATATTAGACCAATGTAAGTCCAATTTTGAATATTTGTGATAATCCTCTAATAATTTCTATGATAGATTTAAGGTAGATTGTACATAGGAACCTGAGCCTGAGCCAGCAGTATGACGCTTCAAAGCTTCAACTTAATAAGCAAAGGTTTGTGGTAGAAGCGGTCGCTTATATAGATGTGACTGGAATAATATGATTTTATTATATAGATTTGGCTGTATATTGGACATAACATGCTTTTGTTAAGGGAGTATTACAATCTTCTATGCCAAACTCAATAGACCCTTTCGCTTCAAGTGCACAGCATAAAAATGTAGCGGAGAGTGCAGTGATATGTGTTGGCCAGTGTTTAGTTGGACGGTCGCAGTCGTTCACTTCGTTGACCAGAAGCTCCAAAGCCGTATAGTGGACTCCGCCATCTCCTCCGTTTCCATCTCCTGTCTCCATCGTCGTCGTCGTCGTCGACGTCGTTGTCATTGTCGTGACAGGAAATTAAGATGAATGTGGCGAGCAAACTGTAGTTCTCAACTGTGGTTCAGTTCTTGGTCTCCCATCTTTTTTTTTTTTGTAGTTTTTCTGTTGTTTCTGTATAGAAACTGCTGTTGTTTTTGGTGTTGGTGTTGCTGCCGCAGCTCGTTGGACTTTTAAAATATTCATAACACAAACTGTTGCCACTATCGCCGCCACTGCTGCTGACAACCACACACACATCCATTCGTACTGATACTGATAGCTGGGACAGTTAGTCGGAAGGACGGACCTAGTGACTGCGGTTGGAGCGGCAGCGTGAAAAACTTGTGTGTGTGTTGGATAGTGTATGAGTTTGAATTAATTGATTTTTATGAATTTTTTAAGTGACTTTTTATGCCACGTTAATGAATGCATGGGGTATTGAATTTGTGGCTTAGTTGTGGCAGTTACAATGCGATGAATGGCTGGGGACACTGATTTTACTAAAATACTACAAATACGAGCATAATCAACATTTGTCTTGGTGTAACAAAAACATACAAGTATATTGTAGTTTAGAATAGGGAATGAAATTAAACACATTTACTTATTTAAAGTTTAGTGAAGTTGAAGGCTGAAATTTAGTTCATAAAATATGTCCGCTGTCTTTGAATTTATAGAAAAAAATGAGACCATTTCAGTAAAACAAAATATGTAATTCTAGAAAATTTTTAGAGAATATTAATCTCTTTACACTAATTTTGTCCTTACTTTCCTCTATACATGTATAATTCATTATTAATGAAGTTTTCTAATGGTAGTTAAGCTCCTGTAGAGAATTAAATGAAATAAAACAAATCCGCATAGTTGAATTTGTTAGCCGCCTTCGATAAAACAGTAGCTCTTCACAGGCTGTTTTTAGAAATATATGCAAAAAACAGAAAAAGTAATTCAATTTTTTGGAGAACACTGTGAATTGTAACTGAGTCAACATACACGTACATAAAAAGTGAAAAATCCGCATTTTAACTAGTTGAGGTACATTTTTATTAGAAAGAAGAACTCAGTGGGAGGCTTGATAGTATTTTTGAAGCTCAGTGAACTATTTGGGTGCTGGGATTGACAACGGGTGGCAAGTCGATTAGGAGGAATATTTTAAAGCAACACCATTGCACAAATTCTACTAAATAGGCCAAAAAGTATAGGCTTAGTCAGCTCAGTAGGAATGAACGCGTAGTTTGTTGTGAGTAATTTCCTAACGCAGTGATACTAGAAATGTGAAATAGGAGAAAGCACCTTGTATAATCTGCAAATAATGTACTTCTGTATGAACAATTAATGCAGTCGAATCAGCAAAATAATTTACCTTCACGACAGCCACTAAAGTGACGCGAAAATATTTGAGGCCTGTGAGAAAGAAAGGCTGCGAGTTGATCTCAATAGCCAGTGTAAGCATTTTCATGAGAAGCACATTCTCGCGCACATTGCTCGAGTGGTAGACGATTTGCTCCCAACCGCTTGTATAATACATAAGACCAAGCTCGTCGGTCTGGGAATAAACCGAAGACTAGCTGTAAATAGGCGGATAATTGTGTAATGATTGCGGACTCACCGTTTTATAGAGTATGGAGCCGAGCATGCCAAAAGCTAAGAGCTCCAGAAACTTGGCCACAAACCAAACAATGTAAGTAAAATTAGCACTAGGATTCTATGGAGGAGTACGGACTAGATAAGTACTTAGTTTAAATGGAAACCGCTCACTTACCGTATAGCTTTTGAAGCTCAGAGCGCAGAGAAGCGCAGCACTAAATGCAAAAAGTATGAAGATGCGAAAACTGAATTGCGCCTCTACCTGCGCCCCAAAATTATTGAGCTCCACATTGCGACGTAGAATCTGAACGAGGGCCTGACGATACTGACGCGCTATGCGTCCCTTGTCTACAGTGTTGGCTGCCAGCAAATGTTTCGCTGTCATCCTCAGGTGCTCACCCAACTGTCCATAGCGAGCATTCATGTGCATCAAAATCTCGCCCAGCACATTAAGCTCGCCAAAGAGCATGGTGGTTATGATGATGCCCACAAAAATGTTGGTGCCGATGAGTGGTATGTAGAAGCGTAGTTGGGTATTGTCGAATGGATATAGCTGCTTGTAGAGCATCTCACGCCGATGGTAGATAATATTTTGAATTGGAACCAGAAAGAAATTTAAGAGCGCCATTATATACATAATGGAGTTTATGCGAGTGCCCAGCATTTGCCGCTGGATTCGCGCATAGGTGTTCGACTCAGTCGCTTGGGGCACATAGATCTCGGCGTAGAATTTCTGCAGCACCCGCTTGAACGCCGCCTTATGACGTGCCAGCTGGAAGCCGCGTATTTGTATCTCGACCAGTATCAGATAGGTCGGCATGCCTGTCAGCATTATATCCATGTCATTGAGATTGTCGAGCAGGTAGTTCAGATCAACTGCGTGATGTTGCAGGAACGTGAGGAAGCTGAAGACCAGTAAGGCCCGCTCTACAAATATGTCCCAGCGACTAGCCGTGTCCTCCAAAGGCCATACAGTTGGATTTAGGACCCGATACATGGCAATGGGCCATGGCAGCGAAACGAGCTTTCCATTTGCAAGACGCGGGCGATAACGCATGGCTCGAGCTAGTTAGTACTGACCAGGAGCCACTATTTCTAGTATTTATAGCCTCATTATGACAAGCCCGACAATTAGGCTTGTCCATGAATAATGAATGTGAACAGTAATTAATTCAATGCCCGGCGTTTGATTTAAATATTTACCAATTGTATTTAATTGCTTATGAATTCTATTAATTTCTATAAATCAATTTTTAATGCATACACTAAATATTTATTATGAATATAAAGAAAAAGTCTGAGTTTTCCTTTTCAAATGAAATACGTGCTATAAATTCGTTAATACACAAACAAACAATGTTCTGTAAAGGTTGATAGGCTTTAAGCATCAGCTGCGACATTATTTTATATCAAGTTGAGTTTTATAAACCCTCTTAAAAGTCACATTAAATTGGGAAAATTATTTGGGTTGTTCTTTAAATGCAAATGGCTAGCTCTTGAATACTATTTAAGAGTTTGTCTGAATCTGTAATGCCTTCACAAAGCTGAGCTTGAATAGTCATAGTTATATCATTAATATTATGTACAATTTGTTTACAAATCACGGAGATTATACTCAAAGATTTGAAGACTTTTATATTAGGGCTATAAGTAATTTTTTAATATAATATCAAGTTGCTCAGGTAGAAAGTATTGTTATGGGCCAAGTCAATTTAAGACTAATAGCACAAATCAAAATATTTTAAAATTTATCAGAAATCTACCTAACTAAAAGCTTAATTTTTTAGCTACAAAACTAGGTCGATTTAATTAGAGTAAGATAAATATACTAATGTCAATTGAGAAGTAATTTGCCTAACAAATATAGCACTTGAGTGTAAAAAGCGCTTTCCCTGTCACAGATTATTATCATTTTGGCTTCATATGTGAAAAAGGAGAATAAAAATAAATATTGATTTGTTATTAGATTGCCGTTTGAAAATAAATAAAGTCGAATAGAAAGCTGCGAGTATGTATGTGTGTGTGTGCTTCGTCAATGTCCCCAATAAAAAATTACTATTTGAGTGACAATTGGCCAGGGCTTTCACTCCAGAAATGGGGCAAATGAATGAACGGTCGACTAGTGAGTAGATTAGAGGCTGTAGATATTTTACCTGAATAGTAGAAAAATAAATTGAACGTGTATTTGGAAAAGTTAAGACATTTCTTTAGTTAAATGTTATCATGTCAAGGAATTAATTGACACAATTTAAACGCAAAGGGCTGCAATTCTTGCTGCATTCTTAACAGCTTCGTAATTATGGAAAGAACTTGGAAACACCTCAATAAACAAGCCAGCAAATTTAACAAATTGGTTTTCCACTATTCAGATACTGAACTACTCTGATAATTTTCTTTATAAACTTTTTATAAATAGCTTGAGTGAAAATTTATTAAAACTTGACCATCTCCAAATATTTTATATTTAAAATTTGTATAAATAACTCGATTGAAAGAATATTAAAGCTTGATCTTCGCTGATTATTTTCTATTTAAAATTTGATAAATAGCTTGAGCATCCTTGATTATTTTATATTTAAAGCTTAAGCTTCTCTGATTATTTTCTATTTAAAATTTGTATAAATAGTTCGATTGAAAGAGTATTAAAGCTTGATCTTCGCTGATTATTTTCTATTTAAAATTTGATAAATAGCTCGATTGAAAGAGATTTAAAGCTTAAGCTTCTCTGATTATTTTCTTTTTAAAATCTTGTATAAATAGCTTGATTTCAATGAGATTTAAAGCATATGGTGGGGAATGTCTAGCGTAAGAGTCCTTCAAAATCGTTTGTATTCCAGCTACCAAATAATTTGATTGTAAGTTAAAGCTAAGAGGAGAGCAAGTTGATGTAGTTTTTATGTCTAGGTCAATAAATTCTAATTTCAACCCGTCTTCGTCTTGTATGGCCAGCGAAGGGCCAAAAGTTTTAAATGTTCTCAAATTTCATGAACGGCTATTACGCATAAAATGAGCCAAAATTATAGAAAAACTTTTGAACTTTCGGCTTCTTGGTTAGCTAATAACTTAATTGAGGCATCGCACGCATGGGAGGGCTCATTAAAAAAGTTGAGAATTGGAAAATTGTCTCGAATGTGAGCTGTGGGAGTAATCAAGGACTGCAAAATGGTTGTCGGTTATATAAGTCAGTTGCTTAAGAATAGATTTCAACAGTAGTAGAAGGAACCACATTCAGTTACGAGTATGCAACGTTACGTGCCTCGGCTGGCCAATGGACAATTGGTGCCTTTATCCTGGCCCCTGGCTTTGTATCGTCGACTGAATCACATTACCTGGCCCCTGGAGCCATCAGCCAGTCGATGGGCACATGGCTTGGACTACCTGCTCGCTATTTGTGGCTGCCTGATATTTGTGCTGACAAACGATGCGGAGTTGCGTTATTTGCGTCAGAAGCAGAACAATGTTGATCAATTGCTAACTGGGATGCCCACCTACCTGGTGTTGGTGGAGTCACACTTACGTGGCCTGTACACGGTGCTGCATTGGGCGGAGCAGCATTGGCTGATGCATCAGTTTTATGCCGATATCTATATAGAGCGCGATAGAGAGCCACAAATTTTCAAGGAAATTGAAAGACAAATGCTACCCAGTCGTCTGGTGGCTATTATGTATTTAGTTGCGCTGTCGGGCTTTCTCCTGGTACCGATAATGTGTCTTGTTTATCGGCGACAGGACTTCTTATATGCCATGGTCTTTCCCTTCGATACGACACCGCTCTGGCTCTTTGTGCCGCTCCTGATAAGCAACATTTGGGTGGGAGTTATCATTGATTCGATGATTTTTGGTGAAACAAATTTGCTTGGCGAGATGATGATGCATTTGAATGCGCGCTATTTACTGCTGCAACGCGACCTGCAATTGAGTGTGGACCGCATCCTGGCGATGCGCCAGAGGCCGCATATGGCGCACCAACTGCGTCAGGCATTAACCGAGCTGTTGCGACGCAATGTGGCGCTCAATCATTTTGCCGAACGATTGGAGAAGGTGTACAATATACGGGTTTTCATTATTTTCTCGTTCAGCTCCGGCTTACTGTGTGCACTCAGCTTCAAGACTTATACGGTGAGGGTTCAAGGTATTGTTCATTGTTTAGTTGCCAACTGAGTTGTCGGTCTATTTAAGAATCCCGCTGCCAATTACACCTATGGCATGTGGTTTGTGTCGAAGACTTTGGAGCTGCTTGCTTTTGGTCAATTGGGTTCCAATCTGGCGCATACGGTAAGCTATAGAATCTTGTAGAGTAACATTTTAATTAATTATTAAATAGCTTGATTAACATTTTTCTAGGGAACATGACATTTGACTTAAACTACTTTCTTTCCTTGAATGCAAAACATCATCAAATCTTTAACCATTTTAATCAATTGCAGACGGACTTGTTAAGCAGCATGTATTACGAATCCAAATGGGAGCAGGTGATGTATCTCTCAACCAATACTTGCGAGAATGTGCGTCTCTTGAAGCTTGTTGTTGTGGCCATTGAAGTAAATGCCAAGCCCTTCTATGTCACTGGCCTCAAATACTTTCGTGTCAGTCTAATTGCTGTGTTGAAGGTAGGTGCAGCAGCTCTTCAAAATTTATGCTTCACGTTCCATCCACTCTTTGCAGATACTGCAGGCTGCCTTTTCCTATTTCACATTTCTCACTTCAATACGCTGAAATAAATTTGGCGTGCTGTCATCGCCTGGCCGGCAATTGCGGCGCGACAAATCGGCCAATCATATTATTCATAACATTTTAATGAACCATAATTCAAAATGTTGCTGTAGTTGTTGTTGCCTTTGCTGTAGTGCTGTGGCACAGGATGCGTCCAGCATACAAATGATTGCATATTAAAAGTCAATTATTGGTGAATTAAGTTTAATTTAATTAAATTGATAAAAGGCATTGCGCATACGCATCGTTGGTCGCTTGGTTGTCTGTGTGCATGCGAATTAAGTAAGACTCGCAATAAAATATTCATGATTGCATGCAGTTTCTGTTGCCTTGTTGGAGTTTTGTGAAGTAAAGGAAACTTGAGTCTTTTGTGCTTTTTGCGCTTCTAAAATTAGAATATCGGTTGCTCGCCCTTGCCGATCAACGGCCATTAAGTGTGCGCGCCTTAAAGTATGCTATAAATCTGCAACTTTAGACAGCAATGTGCACGCTTCTTAGCCGCCTTCAGTTCGCTCGTCTGTTTCAATTTCAATTTCCTGCTGCACGAACGTTTTGGTAAATTAATCCATTTAAGTTTCGCCATGAAAATGCGCAAAACTTTTCACATAAAACTCATGGCGTCCCGCTCGCACTTTCCGCCAACATCACCCGTTCGCATAATTTTATCAATCTTGGCGGACGGCGTACGCCGAACGGCGGGCGGCCGGCGGGACTCAAATGGCAAACGAAGTTCGACATCATGCGGTGGCCCACTCATTGATAATTAGACGCAGCTCCGGAGCGTCGACGTTGCTTTCGCATTTGCCAATTTGCACTTCATTAGCGCGCAGTTGTTCCGCAGGATCGAGTGTGCGGGTGTCGATTGTGTCATAAGAGATAGTTAATGTGTTTTTATTTGTCGTGATTAGTGGTGTGCATTCTAATGTGCAAGAATTTCGCATGCAATTCAAAATGTAATTAGAGGAAGGCTACTGGCCATTTCGTGCATGCATATACATACTTGTATTTGAGAGTTGGTTCTCAGCAAAAACGCAATGCTTTTGGTGGCTGCAGAATATGAACGACTCCATCTAGTTCCATATAAGCCTTCGTTATGCTGCGTAATGTCTTCTCTTAGCTAAGCTGATGAGACCGCGATCGACAAGACTGGTTTGTAGAGAACGCTATGTTAAAAGAAATAACCCATCCCCCCTCCAACGAGTGCACTACCCTTCTCATTATTCCCTCCCAGTTGTCCGAGATAGAAAGGAACAACCGATGGATCCGAGTAACACTCGCAAACGACAGATATTTCCAGAAGTCTATTCACACTAACATCTAGATTACAATTACAGCTTTTGTAGACATAACTAACATCTCCATTCGCATAACTCTTAAAAAGTGTGTGTACCAGCTCTAATAAAAATATTAAGGTTTTAATTAAAAAATTCATCTTTATTCAGTAAAGATCAATTGGTAACAGAACACGGTTAATTACGAATTGCTAACTGACAAAAAAATTGGACTGACGAAAGTATCTCTTGACGGGCAGAAAGAAGAGCATATACACCTAGTATACACCTAATTCTGTTTTTACACGGTAGATTGGTTCCAAAGAAAGTCGTGCTAAAAAAAAACCATGTAAAAACAGATATTGATTATATGTAATACAAATCGTGCTAACCAATAAAATTTTTAATTTTCAAGCCGTCTTAAATCAAAACCTTGTAAAAACAGAATTAGGTGTACATTAAAGTGAATGGATCAAATGGAGAGCATTGTAGCAAGATCGATAAATATATTTTGCATACTATTAAAATGTAGGATTTTTGATGTTGTATATCATATCTAATGATCCGCAAAAAAGTTTCAAAGTATTAAAACAATTGTTTAATAATTAAAGTTTCAATCAGCTGAAGTGATAAAGTGTGGAAAAAATGTCTAATAGAAAGACGCAAATTTATGCTATTCCAGACACTCTATATTTATAATATAATGGCCCATTAAAGAACTTAAATAGAATCAGATAAATCAGTCACAGATCCTATATATGTAGTTAGTTGAACTCGACAATAATTCACAGTTGCGAACTTTTTAAAAAAATAACTCAGACATGCTCGAAGCGATTATTCCAATCAGTGATATATGTATATATACTTGTACGTATGAACAAGTGTGGCAATGTTTAATTAGAAGCTGAATAGTAAATAGAATCCAGTAGTTGCTCTCTGGCTGCCTGTGGCAACCGATGAACTTATTCGGGAAATGCAGCACAATTTTATATTTATGCTTGAGTTGCCAACTATTGTGGGAAACAAGCACACACACATACACACAAATACGCACAGATATATACTTGTATGTACATGCATGGCAAGTAAATGTTGCAAAAGTTGTAGCCTTGTAATTAGCATTAGCGATATTGTGTCTAAAGTTTTTGACGCCGGGTATTAAGCGCGTTTGCTAAATATGTATATATGTATGTGTTATATATATATTTGTGAGCATTCGTGCGTTCATTTATATTTCGCCTTGTGTGTGTTTTTAATGCTTGCCAAAAGCGCAACTACATAGACCAAAAGTTTGGCTACATTTAACTTGGAATTTTGATTTGATTGCAGAGACGCGGCGGCATTAAATCAAATTTAGCGCACCAAATAAACGCAGTAGCAGTAAGAGCAGCAGGAGCGGAAGCAGCAGTAGCAGTAGCAGCGTAGCAGCAGCAGTTGTAGTCATTGCTTGAAAAAAACTTTTAATTACGCGCACATTTTTTGGTCGCCTGCGTGCAAAACTTGGCCACAAGGCTGCGGCATGGCGGCTTGGCGGCTGCTGCAAATGAAAATGGAAATGGAAAAAGGGGCTATGTGAGAGAGGGTCGGGGGTGGTGGCGGCATCGGGGAGCAGGTTAAGCAGCATTTGCATTGGGTTAAATGAAAATTATGCGCGCTTTGCATTAAATTACGTGTCATGCAATACATTTTGAGTCGCAACGTTGGCTGGCAACGTGGCGTATACTTAATTAATTTTAAATGCACTTTTAATAGTTTCTTTAGTTTCTTCAGTAGTTTGCGCGCAAAAGTTGCGCTAAGTGGAAGCACAATTTACACGTGACTATGCCGGGCATACGCACACACACAAACACACATACAAACACACATAGAAACACACACACAAACACACATACAGACACATACGAATCCACACATTAAGGGAATACCTTTAAGCTGGGGCCGGCGTTAGGTCGCGTATTTATGTAACTTTCACTGTTGGCAGCAAACGCGGTAAAAGGGAAAGAAAGGAATAATGAGAAGAAGCAAGAGAGGAGGAAAAAAGAAAAACGCAAGATGCAGCGAAGGCAAAGAGTAGTTTATTCATGTGTGACTGCATTTGTCAGAGCGACTGTCAACTATACACACACACACAGGCACTCTTACAGCTGGAGAGTTATGCATGTATGTGTAATTATGTCTGAGATTATGCCCGCAGTCGTGGAATTGCTTTATTGTGAGTGTGTCTGTGCGTGCGTCTTTAATATCCTTGTGCTGCCTGCGCTGCTTCTGCTGCTTTTGCTGCTGCTCTTATCCGTGCATTTTGTTCCCATTGCTCGTGTTGTCAACGTCAAAAGTTTCTGTGGCCTGCCAATGTGTATGTGTATGTGAGTACATACAAATGTGGAACGTACACACATACATATATATATGTACATACACATACATGTGTATGAGTTTGCCTTTGGCTTTCGCTGCTTTAAGTGAACCCAAGATATACGTGTATATAGTATACTCGTTGTTCATATGCAGCTTGCTTAAGTATTCTCATTTTCCAGCTGCTTCTCCTGCTCCACCGCCTGCTGCTGCTGCTGCAGCCTGGTTTTTGGGCTTGCTGTGGATCCAAAAGTCGCAGGAAGTTATTATCCTAAAAACTTTACCCCTGAGGGCAATACAAACAAAAGCGAAGCACACATACACACTCCACACACATAAACGTCTGGCTACGAAATGGCTACACTCGCCAAGACCGAACAAAACACACTCACTCACACATGCCTACCGTGTCAACGTGCGTGCGTGTATGTGTGTGTGTGTGTGTGTGTGGGTTTGCTTGGCTATGCATTAAAATAGAATGTCATAAAATTAGAACGATGATCAGCAAAAGCCTCGGCACAGGTCCTGCTTAAGTTCACAGCCAAAAACGTGATTGTCTGTTCCAATAAAATTTCATAAAAAGGTGACGAGCCACACCGTAATAAGGTGGCATGAAGATTCTAAAGGTGCTAGTGGTGTTGCTTTCTAATATTTCAAACTATTGTGGAATGCTAACAGAAATTTGAGAAGGTTTGACTGGAAAGCAGGGCCAGACACATTAAACTAGGAGTAAACTATTCTTTGCTTTAGACGAAACAATAAGCTCGGGTTCTGCATGACAGAAGAGATCCCTAAATACAAACTTTGATAATCTAATTCATCAGGCTTATAATTTATAATTGAATCAATTGAATTCTGTAAGGAAAATATTTGATTTCATATATGAGTATCTATTACATATACGCCTATGGGTATGGGTCATTAAAAGTGGAACACAATACATTTAGCTAACACTCTGTATTCATTTTAAACTTCCCGGTTTTTACCTCTAATAATAATTAATACAACTTGGAAAACAATTGTTTGCATGGAACTTTTTCAATTTAAAATTACTGTTATTATTTGGAATAACATATACAAACCTATTACAACTTGAAGAAGGAGCTTCCCCATTTTTAATTTAATTTGTTAAATCTTTGATCAAGAGTCCCTATGAGGCTGGATATATGTTTTTCAAATGTAAGGCTTCAACATCCTATTGCATTAAACAGATTTATCAAACTGATCGGACACATTTTAAAATACGATCAACAAGTAACAATAATAAGCTTTAAGTAGAAATGCTCAATGGTGCATAGACTTACAAATTATTTGTCTATTTTCTGAATTAGTGGTTTTAATTAATTAATATTGCTATTTAATTAGATACGACTAGCTTTATCAAATTAAAACTGCACGCTCTTCGTTAAAAAATAATGAACGAATCCATAAATGCATTTTTGTTAATACACATATCTGCTCAATATTTGAATAATACAAGTATAAAGAGTTAACATGATATTAAATATTAGTTGAAGAGCCAGTAAAAGGAATATAGCTTCTATAATAATTGTATTTTATGAAATAAATTCCGACAATTTTTTTTATTTATTTGTACGGTTTAATGTGTTTTTCATGATTCGTTTTCCTAAAGAATCGTTGCAAATATCCCAAGGGTCAATATTCACTAAGCACATCATAATTTGTTTAATATTTAACCAGATATGGCTCATTTGTGTAAAGACGTGGGATGTCTTGCATTTTAAAATAGATTTAATACCTTTCTGCAAATATGCTATGAAGTACTTGGCACAGTAGGCGTCTTGCAGCAAATGCTATTAAAGCTTTACAGATTACTGGCCCCAGCACTGATAAGCTAAGCTAGCCAACCACCCAGCCAGTTAGTCAGCTAGCTAGGTAGCCAGCTAGCCAGGTGAGATGGCTGTAACTAAAAACGCAAATGCATTGCCTGCATAAATTAAATGTTTACGACTTCCGCTTTGTGTGCTGCTTGACTTTTAGTTGCAGCTAGCAAATTTTTGCCATTAAAAAGCAAAGCACACACAAACACACACGCGCGCGCCTCTAAAGATGCATAAAAGCCAACCCACTCAGCCAGCCAGGCAGCCAACTAGTCAGACTTACAGATAGCAAGGACGAGCAGCTAAAGGAGATTATGCCATGGAACGGCGACTGTTGCTGGTGCGCTAATTTTTAATTACGACCACTAAATATTCAATTTTTAGTAGGTAGAAGGCGAGAGCAAACACTTCCTTTGCTGCTGCCAGGATGTCGAGCTTTTTGTTTTGCTCTGGATTAACAGCAGGAAGAACGCGCGCAAAGCCAAGGGGAGGCAGAGTAGTGGCAAGGCACAGGCATTGGGTAAGCAGTGTAATGTTTCCTGTCAAGTGTTACAACAACTCTTTGGAATTGCAAATGCTGTGATTATTTTTACTACGGCTTCGTTATAACAACAAACATTGCGTTTCACGTGCAGTAAATGCGGCTCAATTTTAAAACATCCTTGGCACTTAATCCGTTCTTCTGTCCAATGTGCACGTCGCCTTGCAATGGCACAATTGTGCGCTGTCCGTTCTTCGAAAAGGCAAAGGGACCATAGTGCATAATGCTGGCATAGTCATAGTCCACACCCAGATCGGCCGTACCTTGGACAGTGTCTCGCACGAAGAAGCGTTGCTTCTCCGGCATTATGTTCTCGAAAGCGATCCGCACAAAGTTGTCACGTCTCGGATCGGTGTGCATGTGTCGGAAGCCGAGAGCGTGCAGCAATTCATGCTGCACAATGCCCAGCAACATGCAGTTCCTGCCCAAATTCAGCTCTTGCCTCAATCCCAGATAGCCGACATAGGACCAGCAGCCGGCATCCTTGCGTTGTATAACCACCTGAGGCTCCCTAGGCTGGGCTGAGCGTCGAAAGCGCAGACAAGTCTGCGCCGATATTTTATCCATTGCTGCAGCTATTAGCGACAGTTCTGCCTTGGCTGAAAACGTATTCGAATATGACTTCCAAATAGATAAACATCTGTTTGTTCAGTTGCTTGGAGTACTTACAGAAGCCACTTGCAATGCTGTAAACGAGCGTGCTTTGTGGCCAGTAATATATGGACCAAGGCATGGCATTGCGTGCGCTGTGCTGGCTCCTTAAAGCCTTCCACTGCTGTGCACTCAAACGCATATCATCCTCATTATAGAATGCTCCGGAATCTTGGGAGCTAATTCGGGAGCTCGTCAATAGCAGCAGCAGAGTTAAACAGTGCTGCATTCTGGAAATGAGCCTCTTCGCTCTGTAACAGTACGTATTATAAGAGCCTCGAATTTCTCAACAGCAATTGAAGAACATATCAGATATATCAGTAAGTTACAATTTTCGAAGCATTACCCATGATAAGCTTATATGCTACTACGAGTAGCTGGGATCATTGAACGTAGATTGCAGATGGTATGTGGAAATTAAATTCCACCTTAAGATACTTTCTTCCATATGTTTTTAAAGTACTTATCTCTTGGCTTGTCTTTCTTAATTACAAATTCAATTATGCGAATATTGTTTCAGTGCCATTTAGGCTTTATTCCGTAATGATTCTTGCAGAAAGATGGATTTCAGTATGGGGGCGTTGGCCTACCAAGTTGTTCGATAATAATTCATAATTATCTAAGTGTTATACGAAACATCGCCCTAGCTTATTCCATAATTATAATGGCAAAAAAACGTTGGCAACGAAAAGTATGCTAGACGAATCATTTCTTCCATTTACACGAATTGTGCTAATTATTGTATTCCATTATTTTCAAGTTTAAATATGGAAATAAATGCCATGATTTTTTTGAAAATAAATGCTTATTAATATGTAGATTATTTTAAACATACTAATATCTCTCGAAACAAAGAGGATTTTCATGTGGAAAAAATGTCTAAAACACATCGATGGGTATTAAACCCATATACTACACCTCAAATGTTCAGCAAAGCGTATATATTTATTTATTTAATCGACAAACAAAGATGCCGATGTAAAAATTAAGAAAAAAACACCATTACAAAAAATATTAAACTAAATAAAACTAAGGAATAAAAAAGCCTATAGCAATTACAATAAATCTAATAACGAATCTGACTCGGTGGGGGGAATTTTATTTGCCAAAAAAAATAAATGAAAATAAAGAAATAGCAATAAAAATAAAGAAGATGTAAGATAACATTAAAATAACAAATTAAAATACTGAAATAATAAAAAATAAAATATAATTAAACGCTAAAAGAGGAGAAAGCTGACAAAATATTTGAATATTTTTTAAATGCTAGTCAAAAAATATTTTTTTCTTACTTAAAATCAATTTATATTAATGACACCCAAGATCATAAAATCATTGCATTGTAATCGAACATGTCTTAGGCATATTTGTGGCATAGAGCTATACTTTAATTGAAATAATTTTTCTCAACCGACCCACTCTACGGCCCGGTCAATAAGCCTAAATTATTTACAGCATATATTGTAAAAAATATCGATTAGATTACATCTATTGGCTGAATTAACATTTCCCAGTACCACTGAGTGTCGATTAGATTCCATATATCGGTTGTGAATGACCATTTCCCCGACCGTAAACGTTAATTGTGACACTCGTAATAGGTCATAAAATTTGTGCCTGCATAGTGCGGGTAAATATTATTGGCGCAGAAAATCTTGGCCAGTACCACTGAACGCCCCTACCTGAACGTGTCTGAAAACGGGCAAAATGCAACCATCCAATCCATTAGCTGTACTCGCTGTGATCTTAGGCCTAAGTAGCGCTGTCCTGGCGCTGCCGACGCCTCGGGTGGAGACGGATCCAGAGCTGACTGCAGGCTATTATCAAGGCGACATCGTGTTGGATGATGAACGTGAGCGTACCGGCTTGAGAAATGAAAGCTACCGCTGGCCCGATCGCATTGTCTTCTACCACATAAATTCTTACATTGGTAAGCGGAAGTCGCACTCCCTAAAACAATGGCTAAAATTGTTTCACATTCGTAGATCAGGAACACCGTGATCATATCTTGCGCGGCATTCGCATCATTGAGGAGAACTCTTGTCTGATCTTCAAGGAGGCAACCATCGATCAGCCGAACTATGTGAATGTTACCTCTGAAAATGGTGGGTGCTTCTCTTACGTGGGCAAACGAAGCACCGTCCAGCAGCTCAATTTGCAGAACTATGCATTGGACACGGGCTGCTTCCGCCTGGGCACAATAGTGCACGAGTTTTTGCACGCACTGGGATTCTATCACCAGCAGAGTGCCGCTGATCGTGATGACTATGTGACTATTGTCGAGGAGAATATCCTGGAAGGCACGGAGCATAATTTCAACAAATACAACGAGACCGTTGTGAACGACTTTGGTGTGGAGTACGACTACGGCAGCGTTATGCACTACACGGCCTACGCATTTACCGCAAACGGCCTAATGACAATTGTGCCTAAACAAGAGGGCGCCGAGGATATTATGGGACAGCGTTTGCAGATGAGCGAGGCGGATATCAATAAACTCAATCTGATGTATAAGTGTCCGCGTAAAGTCTGAGTTGCTGCTCATGTACAACAAATAATTATCTTCTCCTCCAAATGCAATGAAACTTGCTTAAACGTGCTTGTATTTAATTATTAGGTTGGGGAAAGCTAGGCAGTTTAAATTCAATGCAGTTGTGCCTATAAATACTGAAATCATCACGAAAAGTACTTGACATCTAATTAGTTTTATATTGAAATATTACAACGTTAAAGGTAGAACCTGTGAACATTTTTGGAATGCAATTTTCTGCCACACAACCTTTAATTCTTTCAAACGTTTTGACAAAAAAAATTCAAACCCTGCATCCATGGCATATACTTGTATGTATACGATGTTTTTCCAAAGTATGTAACAGAATGTATCCGTGAACGTAAAGCATAGATATTTGAATTCAGGACATCTATCTATATCGACTAAGCTTGGAAGCTAAACACCATCAGTCCGTAGGCAACAATTTTATTTTATGAAAACTGCAAACTATTTCAAAGCTATACAGAAATGTTGCTGGCTTAATTTGAAGCTTATTTTCTTCCAGAATTTCCAGTTTTATGTAATTGGCAGCACAGCACCAAGTTTTTTTGTTTTTCTTCTTTTGTGGTTCCATACGTTTATTATTATTATAGCTTATTATTGAATGTTACTCAGTCTTTATTTCTGAGCACAGTGCAGTTATTTATTTGTTTAAAGACGGCCAAGTCTGCCTGGCTCGTGTACATTATTTGTGTTGTCCATGCCTAATTGTGCGTTAGAAGTTTGAAAGATACAAGTGGCATACCTATTCCTTTTTGTCTCGAGGAATAAGTGCAATAGTCCCTTCCCTGGCCAATTCATCTGTGTGACAGTTCCCTTCAATGCTGCGGTTTCCTGGCACCACCTGGTTAACATTGATCTGCTGGGCCAACTCGTTAAGAGGTCTGCGGCAGTCAGTGACTTGACAGATAAATTCTAGCATTTCTTTGTTCCCTGGCCTTCAGATAATTTAGAAGATTCCAGCAAGTCTTTTTTAGTCGAAAGATGTACCAAATGAAACTGCAATCATTAATTTAGAAAACCCATAAAATTAAGTCTTGGAGACTTATTTACCATTTGTGTATAATGAGTCGCCGATAAAAGCAAAACTAGTTGAAATGCTGGCGTCGTATAATATTTGTCATGGTCATGCAGATTGTTATTAGTGATTGATTCACTAATTTTTCTGCGATCCCCGCAATTTTGATTAAAACCTCGCTACTACTACATTACAATACCGTCGACTTCAACAAGAACAAATTAATAAACTAACGATGGCATGTTTAATAGATAATTTATCCTCCTATTTGTATTAATTTTCTTTTCTTCGAAGCCACTTATTTCATTGGAGACTTAACTACAATGGCGAACTCATCGAGCTTATTGAGAACAACAACAGTAACGACGTCAATCTTATCGAGTACGGAAACTTGTAGAGCTACAGACATTTAAACTTCAACAATAGTAAATAAATAAATAGTAAAAAAATAGCCAAAGAACCGCGACGCTGACAACAACAGACGAAATGTTATCTCCAACGTATTATTCAACATCAATGATTGTATAGACGACAGCAATAACCGAATGCACAGGCGGAGAAATGGATCATCCGCCGACTTCAAGACTGTCTCCAACGAAGAGGCCTCCATTAACGAGATAACGACAATTTTAGTAACAACAGTAAACGAGAAACAACGTCAACTATTCGAACATCAAGCTCATCAAGCAGCGACACTTATGCATCAGTAGTACGAGCTAACGGGACAACAAATACAATTATCAGGAAAAACAACTATCCCTCTAAATACTACGAGGTTAACCACAGATATCGAGACTACATAGCCAATAGCTCGATCGCCACGAAAGTCGTATAACTTCCCACTATAACAACCTTGACACAATTGTTAAGCGAACTCACCAGAAATAATTATTTCCATTGTAATAGCTAAAGCGGTATCATCGTCTTGGGGGTAAGGCAATATTCAAGTTGTCGTTGTTAATAGATAAGAAATGTGTTCTTTATGGTATTGATTTATAGCCCCACTAATTTATTTCAGTCAGAATAAGAAAGATTATTATTAGATTATATTATGCTTAAGACATTAAAGTAAAATTAAGAGCACGCCCTAGGAGCTGGACTTCCTGTTAAACAAGAGAGCTCGCTATAGTAGAGCATCTCTTATATGCGCCCATTGAAGAATTAACAAAAAGAAGAAGAGCGAACTTAATATGGATGAAATTTAAGCCAAAAGTAGATAATTATATATCTATAAATAAAATTCCGTAAAATAAACTTCTGTTGTCTGGATATTATTTGAATCTACATACCATGTTTGGTGAATGTGGGTTCAACCGTCTCCGAAATCCAGGGGGTAATAGAAATAGATGCTGAAACTGTACATAAACATATGTCTCTATGTGATTATAATTTTTTATTTTATTTAATTCATTTAAGTTTTTTTTTAAGGAATGGCTATACGGATATAAAAGTTGGGTCGGCTCAACTTTAGCTTTCCGTTCTTTTTACGTGCTGAATTTTATTTATCCAAAGATTGGTCGCGTAACCTTTCTATAATTTTTCGTCTTGATGGTTGTTGGCCAAGTATGCTTAGTTGGCACGACAATGGTCGTTCGATAAGTCGTCGGCCAAGTTAAAGTTGTTGGCGAACTTATTGTTGAACTCTGAGTTATCCAAATCGACCATATTCCAGTTGTCGATGGCTTTGCAGTCGTTGTCCAAAATGTTGGTCTTTTTTTGGTTGTTGTTTCTTGGGTTGTCGTTCTTTTGGTTGTCGTCCTTGGTCTTGATGTTGTCGGCCAAAACGTTGTTCTTGTCGGTTGGATTGGTTTCGCTGTCGACCTCGTTGGGATCTCAGATTCTGTTGGAATGTATGTCGGTTCTTCTGGCCACTGTGTCTCAACTACCGACTCTGGCTTTGTTGTCGTTTTTTTGGTTGTTGTTTCTTGGGTTGTTGTTTTTTTGGTTGTCGTCCTTGGTCTTGATGTTGTCGGCCAAAACGTTGTTCTTGTCGGTTGGATTGGTTTCGCTGTCGACCTCGTTGGGATCTCAGATTCTGTTGGAATGTATGTCGGTTCTTCTGGCCACTGTGTCTCTACTACGGACTCTGGCTCTGTCCAAGGGTGTTCAGGTCCTGTCGGTTCTTCTGGCCACTGTGTCTCAACTACGGACTCTGGCTCTGTCCAAGGGTGTTCAGGTTCTGTTGGTTCTTCTGGCCACTGTGTCTCAACAACCGACTCTGGCTCTGTCCAAGGGTGTTCAGGTTCTGTCGGTTCTTCTGGCCACTGCGTCTCAACTACGGACTCTGGCTCTGTCCAAGGGTGTTCAGGTTCTGTTGGTTCTTCTGGCCACTGTGTCTCAACAACCGACTCTGGCTCCGTCCAAGGGTGTTCAGGTCCTGTTGGTTCTTCTGGCCACTGTGTCTCAACTACCGACTCTGGTTCCGTCCAAGGGTGTTCAGGTCCTGTTGGTTCTTCTGGCCACTGTGTCTCAACTACCGACTCTGGCTCCGTCCAAGGGTGTTCAGGTTCTGTTGGTTCTTCTGGCCACTGTGTCTCAACAACCGACTCTGGCTCTGTCCAAGAGGGTGACGAAACTGTTGGTCGTTTTGTCGTTGTCGTCCAAGGCTTTGTAGTCGTCTTGATTGGAGGCTCAGAAGGCACGGGTGGAGTCGGAGGGTAATCCGATTCTCCGCCTGGGCATACTGTTGTTGTTGTTTGTCGCGTAGTCGTTGGCATAGTTGTTGGTTTAAATGTTGGTGCAGTCGTTGGCATAGATGTTGGTCTATTCGTTGGTTTAGATGTTGGCTTAGTTGTTGGTTTAATTGTTGGTTTAATTGTTGGTTTAGATGTTATATTTATACCCTGAGTTGGCATTGTTGGAGTATCTGCGGAAATTGGAGGAGTAGATGGGAAATTGGTGTCTCCATCGGGATACGATGTAGTCGGTGGAGGAATCGTTCTAGTGGTTGCTATCGGACTTGGCTCCTTTGAAATCGGAGGAGTCGGAGGAAAATTGGTCGCCACATTATCACAGTCACTGCGTATAAGTCTATTGCAGTATTTTGAATAACAAGTGCTTGCCAGCAATAGGATTCCCATAAGTACAAGAAAGGTTCGCTTCATTTTATCCATAGTTATTATCGATGACCTTTCCAGACGTCGTATCAGCTTCCTAATGAATAGATTTAAAACCTAAGGTAGTCAACTTCTTAAAGTAAAATTTATTTGGTAAATTATGCACACCTTATATAATTACTGGCCGTGACTAAAGCTTCAAAGCCATGCATATATTTCTGCTAAAATAAAATGAAGTTCTCTTCATTTGTTTGTACTTCCGCCTAGATTTCGGAAACGGCTGAGACGTTTTTAGTCCCTAGGCAATACAAATTTATTTTATTTTATTGATCCCATTTATACTTTATGCGATTAGAGATGTAGCTTTTGCCTGTTACAAACATGTAGATATATACATACCTAACATATCATTGTAAAACTATGGTCAATTGTAAAATTGGGAATTCAATATGGTGAGAATCAGTCATGAATAGGGTTGAGAGCGAATACATGACAAGATATGATAATGGATTATCGGGGTTTAATTTTTGTTTTTAACCAAAAAGTAGTTATTTCAATTTCTAAATATAAATATAGAAATACATATACAAGTATTATTATATTAATCGTCTTTAATGCTGGGCATACGTATTAAATTATAATTTTGCAAATAGATAAGATTAGAGTACGAATACAATTAAATCTAATCCATATAAAGCAATTGATAATAGCTACAAAATATCAAAGACATATGGTTGGCCGATTGCGTCATTATACTAGAATATAGAAGGCACTACTTACTGCCTCTCCCCCAATCAATCAATATTTAGAGCGAAGCTCTCAGAGGTTCTCAGAGCGTGCCAAAAGGCAATCACACACTTGTTCACCACACCGATTACGCGTGTTGAACTAATCAGTTCCATCGATTGGCTGTGCCATTATCATTGCTTTTGCCATGAGCTCTCAATAATTCGTCATCAAGTCGTAGCATTTAGCAAAGATTGCACAGGTTAATACCCTAGCATTAGGAATGTGGGAGAGGACTGGATCAGTCGGCTTGTAAATGCTTTTATTCATACAACATTATATAATTAGTGAAATTACAATTGAATTCGGGATGTCAGGTTTAGGGCACTCGAATCTTTATGCCTTAACCAGTAGTGCTTACTTTAAGACCGGAATACTTTTCTTGATTATAGAATTGATAAACTTTTTAATAACATTTTTAGATAACGTCTGCTTCTTTAATCAGCGTTGTCCACATGACTAAAATCAAACATGGGCTCAATGAATGTAATTAAAATTAGAACGTTTTTCAAAGAGTATATTAATGTCAGTGAGTCAGAATTTGTACTTTATTGAATTTTGTTTTCATTGTACTTCAAAATTAAATCGTTCGATGACTAGCGATATCGTTTTAATTATATTGCTCGTGGATAAATAATCAGAAACATGTGCTCCGATGACGTGTGGACAGCGGCCGGGTGAGGAACTTTGAGACTACCCTCTGAAAGTTGAGTGGCATTTCGCAGAGCCATACGTTTTCTGACGGTCATTCCCCAAACGACAACTGTTGCGAAATCGGGACGGCAAATACGCTTCTATCTAATCACTGCGCACATAGGCGCTGAACTGCCCCCATATTATGACAAGATGGTTATGGCTCGAATACAGTTTTCGCTGAGAATCGTCCACGGAAGGTTGCGCTCTCCAAAGTGCAAAATTTGCAAAATGTGCAGAATGCAGTTAAACGAAAGTGGAATGTTGTGTCTGTTTTTATTGTTGTCCCTCATGCTGCGGAGTGGAGTGCAAGCCGCTCCGCGCTTACATTCGTCGTCGAATACTATTGACCCGGAGGAGGCTGCCGGCTTGGTAGAGGGTGATATGAAACTGAACGAATACGAGCAGCAGGACATGCAGGGCCGTAATGGATTAATAGCCGCAGAAAAACGATGGCCAAATAATTTGGTCATCTACAAGATATCCGAGGATTTTGGTAAGACGGAATATCCTGAAATTTCGACGTGAGCTTAACTCCACCTTCGGCCTTTCACACAGATGACTCACATAGGGCAGCTATTTTGAAGGGCATTGCAACGTTGGAGGAGAACACATGTGTTCGCTTCAGAGAGGCTGAGCCCGAAGATACGGCCTATGTGGATATTAGTGCGAAGCCAGGCGGCTGCTACACAGCCGTGGGCTATCGCGGCACTGTGCAGGAGATGAACCTGGAGATCTACCCTCTGGGAGAGGGCTGCTTCCGTCCCGGTACCATACTGCACGAGTTCATGCACGCTATGGGCTTCTATCATCAACAGAGCTCCTCCATACGCGACGACTATATACAAGTGGTATACGATAACATAGTGCCGGGCAAGGAGTTCAACTTTAAGAAGTACGAGTCCACTGTTGTGACCGATTTCGAGTTGGGCTACGACTACGATAGCTGCTTGCACTATCGCCCCGGTGCTTTCTCCATTAATGGCGAGGACACAATTATCCCGTTGGATCCAAATGCACAGATTGGCCAGCGAGTTGGACTGAGCGCCAAGGACATAGATAAGATCAACATAATGCACAAGTGTCCGCTGCTGGTATGAGGCCATATCCTCGTGAGGACCAGATGTCCTGTATACCCTACATAGTATTAGCAATTGTGATATTTCTGTGGCTAGCCTATTTTTGGCGATGATTAGCCGATAAGCTGGGGAAAAAACTTAAATATCATTGCCCGATGTATTTATTAGTTTGCCTTGTGCGCAACGTATAATAACAAAGTGAAATTTATTATACTTAGTACATACTCGAATGTATTGATTGTGTGCAGATTTGATTCCCGTTGCTTGTTTTCCAGATAAGGCTCCTGCTCTTATCTCTGGAGTGGTAGCTCCCCACCTTTACAGCCATTTCAGCTGCAAGCGCTTTAATTGCGCCTTTTGTGCAACACACTGAAGGAGCCATGCAGGTCAAGGCTGAAGCGTGCTCGACACCAATTTTACTTTCAATTAAGTCCAAACAAGCTCTGCCAGCTGCTGCTTCTACGTACTACCACCCCCATAACAAACTGGGCGCCCATGTGTTGCATCGTAATTGCGTGCTGCCTAATGCGATTTATGCGAGCATGCGAGATGCAAATGTCTTGTGGCACACACACCATTACATACATACATACGTGTATAACAGCCACAGGCAACGTCGTAGACGTAGACGGCAACAGTCTTATTTGGCCTATTTGGCCAAAACACGCTTTGGAGGCAACGCCGATGGCTGCACTCGATGCTCACAGTTTGACAGAACATGTAAGACAATAAATTTGATTCGTCTTTGCTGTTGGTACAACGTGCAGAGCACCCGCTGCCAATGCCTCTTATCGCATTGTTTCCTTCGAAATTAAGAAAGCCTGCAAACATGGCTTGCAACACACATACAATCAGAGAGTTTTACAATTCTGCTCAGCAGAAAGAGCTTGATTGATGTTTATTTGAAAGAAAAGCAGAAAATTGTGCAATAGACGGAAGCTGGCCGTGTGTGGAAATTATTTAAGCGAGATGTTCAATGTCAATCAGTATTTATATTTTAGGAAAGTTGACTTTTATTTGGTTATCACAGCTATCCCCTGATCCAACCTGATAGTAAGAAAGCAACTTTCTGCTACTTTTGACAAAGATCTGAAAACTAGTCTCCGAAGTCTGACGAAGTAAAGATGGCATCAGACAAGCGTCTTTTCCTGAAGTTAAAAGCCACATCTGTTACAAACTACCATAGATGATCAAATGAAAACCAGATAAAATTTAAATTTAAATGTTCATCACAAGTCATAAGTTTCGAGCTGCCTTCTCGTATTACTCATTTCTTTGCAGGCAACAATTCCAAGACCCTTACGATCGCCCCATATATTACACATGTACATTTGCAATTTTCCATTGCATCCAACATGCAAATGAGCTGAGAAACAATTTTTCATATCTTGGCACGTGTTTCCCGGGCAAATAATTTATGTTATGTTGCTTAGATCTGAGACCCAAGCGCCTGCAGCACTCGGAAGAGCGCATCCAGGGTTTTGAGTGAAGCCGCAAACGCCGCGTTGAATTTTCCCAACCAGCGCACAATTGCAGCCATACCGCAACCAGCCAGGCAGACATCCAGACAGCCATCTAGACGGGGATATACTCGGAACATGTGTTGAAATAATGAAACGAGTTAAAGCAATTTTCGCAAGCTGCCGAAACGCAAATGTGACCAGTTCCGAGCAATTGGTAGCGACGACATGCAATTGCTCGATTGGTGCGATTTATTGCTGACGAATCCATATTCAATTTTAAAGCGGAGCATAAATGATTTATACATTTGATTTTATTTTTGTAGCCGTTGCGCAACCACAGCCGATAGCTCTTGAGCTAAGCTCGTCGGATGTGGAAATCACTTCCGCATAGTCTCGCATAGCCTCTTTTTACGACTCATGTTGGCCACAATTTTTCATATTTTCCCATATTTATGACTATGACGTCGTAAAAAATTATGCTTTAATTTGATTATTGGGCAAAAGATGAGAGCCACATTGCGTATACGCAACGTTGTAGTCTTTGCTGTTGTTGTTTGCTATGTTTGCTTAAATAAGCTTTAAAAGATATTGGAATGGCATTTGGTAAAATCTTATCTTTGTGCCACATCACTGCACATTGTGGTCCAAAAAGATGCCATATTTTTAATGTCACTTTGCCATTAAATGCATAGTCTTTGAATTTTTATCCTAATCCATCCTATATATTTATTGTATGTTCTTAAAAAGGTATGCATGTTAGTTTTTGTAGTGGTCGTGGAATCAAATTAAAACAAATTGAGCGTTTCTGAGAAAGTGTATCAATGATTAATAATTGAGTGAAGCATGGTTAGGTAGAGTTTGAAATTGGCTCAATATCATAGATCTTAGAGCTTTTCTGTTTCAAAACTAAACTGAAAAGTAGCTCAAAATCGTGTTTCAAATTTTGAAACTGTTATGCTAAGACTGCTGCAAATACAAAAGTTTAAATTGTGATAGCTTCATTAAAATTAGCTTCAGCAGTGGAAAAAACAATTTTTTTCGAACCTTATCAACAAATAAAAAATAGTTAACAATAAGCCGATAAAATAAAATAAAATAGTTATATATTTGTCCAGCTAAAGACTAATCCTAGATAAGGTATATTATCAATTGTAGGTAAAGTTTCCAAGTCAGTTCCCTAATTTATTTATGTATGTCGACAATAAAAATCAATACAAAGCTTTTGACAAAGTCGTATAATCTAGGGGAGCCTATGAGGAAAAATAAAATCATTTCTGTTGTTCTGCTGTTGAACTGAGAAATAAATACGATCTAGAATGGTAAAGAATCAGGATTGCAGTTTAAGCAACGAAGAGCAGTTAGAAGGAATTGTTCTTGAACTTCAATAAATTGGTAATAAATATCAACATTGTTTACGATAGAAGAGATGTGAATATTGAAGATAAATCTGGACTAAAAAAGTACTCGATTGTAAATATAAGTTGCAGATTATTAGATGTGTTCCTTAAATATTTTTTCTCTTCATCGAAGTAATAGCACCATACTTCACTGAATTTTCTGCTGCCCGTTTCTTACTCGGTTTGACATGAATTTAACATTTCCTATTTTAGAGAAAGATAAAGTTAAGTTTTAATTTTTTCGGTGTTTTATCTGCGCCCAAGCCTTGTTAGCATTATCAAAGAGTGTTCGTATTGTAAGTGAATTTTAACTTCGTTCCAACGACAAACAACAAATAGCTCTTTATGCTCTTTGTGGCACTTATTGACTTGTACTTAAAGTTTGTGGCATGCCATAAAAGAGTCACTCAAGTGTTTTGAACCCGACTTTGATGAGTTTGAGTGCCTACTGAGAGACGTAAAAAGCTGTTTGTGGCACTCAGAGGAGATATTTGCCTGCTATTGAGTGCGTCTGCATGTATCTTTAAATTGTATCATGCTGGAGCGTGTAACTCTACTCTAATCCACTTATTAGTATGGGAATAATGCAAAAACAACTAATTAATTTAAATTTACATTTTGTTATTTTTTGCTCTGCCGCTTTAAAGCGACCACTCAATTGCTGGGCCCAGAGCCAGCAAGGCTGCCACGCCCACTCACCTTTTGTGCGAGCATTAAAATCTTAATTTGAATATGTAACCGGCTGTCTATACCACTATAATCCCAATTGGCGCGTTGCTGTCGGTGTTGGTTGTGGCGCTATAAGTGCGTCGTAACTGCTTGCATTTAATATGCTTCCCGTGTATGTGTGTATCTGCGATTGAGACACCCTGCAGTTCATCCAGCTAGCTTGCAACCATGCAGTACTAGCGAGCTACTAATTTGATTTAAACTTAAATGTCCTTTTTCAAGGTATTTTTAATCAACATTATTGTAAAATTTTAGTTTTAACTTTAAAAACGTCCAGCAATTATGGCTGATACTCGTAACTTTCAGAGTTCATTAAGCTCTAATCGACTGGTGTTTGTTGCCAAACGATTCACTGAAATTTGAATAATCCCAACACATTTATCGAAGTTAATAAGCTGTAATTTGCTTGTTAAAAAGGAAACTGTTAAACCTTTAGCATACAATTGTAACGATAGGCGACGGCTTAAGTTTTCGGGTAATTAATTAAAACTTTTACAGTTCTTTTTGAACATTGGTCTTCCTAGCGGCCAAATCAATTAGCATTGAGGACATTGTATTTTACAAACATTTCAGAAAGCAATTTTTTTTTATACCCTGTACCCGTAGGGTAAAAAGGGTATATTAGGTTTGTGCAAAGTATGTAACATACAGAAGGAAGCATCTCCGACCCCATAAAGTATATATATTCTTGATCAGCATGACGAGAGAAATCGATCTAGACATGTCCGTCCGTCTGCCCGTCTGTCCGTCCGTCTGTCCGTCCGTCTGGATGAACGCGAGGATCTCAGAAACTATAAAAGCTAGAATAACCAAAGTTGGCATCCAGATTCTCCTAGGTCCGAGTAAGGACGAGTTTATGTTTTTTCTTTTAATTTTCCCCCCCTTCCCCCGCTGCAGAATTTCGTCAATAGCGTCCACATTTCAAATGCTACCTCAACCAAACTTTGCACACATAATTAATATATAATTGTCTACTGTTGTTTTATTCAATTCTGTCAATTCTAAGAAAAGTTATTAGCGAAACAAATTCTCGCCAGTACAACCCCCACAAACTGCAGCAACAAGTTCGCTCTTCTTCTTCCTCTTTTTGCTGCTGCTTTGGGCGCATATAACTCAGTGACGGAAGCTTACCTGGGTACAGGGTATTACACTGTCGGGCTTGCTGGACTGTAGCGTTCTCTCTTGTTTTTATTATAGTATAAAAATGTCCACTTTTAAAAGTTTGGCACAGACATAATTGTTAACCATCTAGGCTTCTTTAATCTCAAATCTTGAAAATATTTTCCACTGTTTTCGAATAAAATGGGGGAACTACCGCAATAATGAAGGGATTGTATGGTCTGCTCTTTATAGCAAGGTGTTGGTTCGAAACAAAGGACAACATGTTTTCTTGGTAATTCTACCATATGCTGATAAATATAATCCAAATATCAATAGCATTATCTTTGGAGACCAATTTTCATAGTTGGAAAAGTTCACTACAATAACTGGTGCATACATGACCTCTAATGCTGTTGGAGGGGACTGTGTTTCCGTTTCCTGCCATTGTGTTTGTGTATCTATGCCTGTTCCTATGTCTATGGGCGTGGTCTATGGCCCTGTTGCCGTGCCTTTCTGTGCGTGGTGTTGTGTTAGAGAGCA